AGAGATCCACTGGCAGAACACCCTACTCCACACACAAGATCTCTTCCTCCACGACGGCCAGATGCTGTTTATCCTAGATTACCACAAGACCCACCATCACAGTAATGCCTCCCACTGGCCTGCTCGGTTCCTCCTTCCAGAGATAGCCCAGTTAGTGACCCAGTACCTAGTCCTGATCATACCCTTCCGACAGTAGCTACACCACAAAGTCCACCAGGATCGTTCCCATGCACCTGCTCCACTCTGCGACTACCTATAGACATCCAGTATTGCTCCATGATCAAAGGACCATCTCACCAAAGCGGTGATTCAGGCCGGACAGCAGATTCTTGGTAAACAGATCCACATTCATACATAGCGCCAGATTACGGTCGGGATCGCGATCAAGAAATTTAGGACTCTTACATCACAATTTATCGAGGGTTCCCTCGACAATGAGGACAACGACTGGACCGAGGACCATGACAGCAGCATAGCCGCTGTTTTTCACTATCAAGCTGCACACACGCCGCACACCGGCAATCAGGTGTATGGGGGCACCGTCAATTTCCAGGCCGGTCTTACCGACGCCAGTCTCCAGGAATTCCGGCGAGCCAGTGAAGCCTGGCATCAACTGATCCGACAGCCCTCCTCATACACCACCCCCAATCCTTCTAAGAGACCATGGCCCGGCCTGTCACTCGCCTCGTCCTCCCACGAACCAAGGCCCGCCACGGAATGAGAATGGGATGAGAGCCCCGCCAAACGAGCCCAGAGCCAGGTGGCAGAGTCGACCCTCGTCCAACAATTCCGTCGCTGTCGAGGGCCTCAACCCGCACGGAGCCAGTGAACGATGGAGCAAGCACAGTCCATCCTAGAACAGATGTATGGTCCAGGAGCACAATATCAATCTATCCACCAGCATCAAGCGCTTGAATATATTCTCCAGAGCTCAAGCGAAGTGATCGCGGTGCTCCAGACAAACAAGGACAAAAGCCTACTCTATCTCCTACCCTGCCAACTGCCAGGTGCACAAACCACAATGGTAATCCTTCCACTAGTCGTCCTCAAGCAGGATATGCTCCGTCGATATCAAAACGCCAGGATTAAGGCCACCCTATGGGATCAGAGCCATGAGTCAACACATCTAAGGTCCAGTTCTCTTATCCTGGTGAGTGTTGAGCAGGCCGTGCATCTGAATTTCCACACCTTTCTTCTTCAACTACAGCTTGCCCAACAGCTCGATCAAGTCGTCTTTGATGAGTGCCATCTCATCCTGACCGCCGCGGCATACCAGAAGCGGATGGCCCTAGTCCCAACCCTACAGGAGATTCAATGTCCCATGGTTTTCCTGACAGGCACGCTGCCACCAACAATAGAGGAAGAATTCCAGCACACCATATTCCTCTCCCATCCCCGGCTGGTCCACAGCCTAACCACCCGCCGTGATCTCACCTATAACGTACTTTTTAGTCCCCCCCACCAGGACTTCCTTGATGGATCTGCCATCCCATAGATTCAGCATGAGCAGACCCAACTCCCTTCCTCGGACCGTGCGATTGTCTATTGCCGCACCCAGGCCACCACCGAGAAGATCGCCAGGATCCTACAATGTCCATTCTACCACGCCGAATCCGGAACCCAGGATGAGAAAGCCGAGGTTCTCCGGGCCTAGCATCGTGGCGCATCCAATTGGATCATTGCCACTTCAGCCTTTGGGATGGGTATTGATCATCCTCATGTCCGGTTGGTGATTCACCTCGATGCTCCATCAAGCCTGATTGATTTCATGCAAGAAGCCGGCCGTCTCGGACGAGATCAACAGGGAGGTCGTTCTGTTATCCTCCTTCCTGCGTTATGGAAGGCTCAATCCCCATCGCGACCAGGCCAGGCCATGTCCCAAGAAGTCCAGGCGATGCACATTGTCCTCAACCAGCCCCAGTGCCGGGTGGCGGCCATGAGCTCCTTTCTTGATGGGATTGCTAAAGTATATACTGCTCCCGATCCCCTCTATGACCGATGCCACCATCGCAGCATCGATCCCCCATCCTCCACTACAACAGGCCCATCTGAATCCAGTGATGATCCTGGCCTAGATCCAACGATTAGATCTCTTCAGCGGATGCAGCAGGTGCAGCGAGACAGTCAACAGCTCCACGACTATGAAGATTATCTCTAAGCACTCCATGGCACCTGTCTAATCTATCAGATCCTTCCTTCATCATCTACGGATCCCAGCCCCCATTCCTTTATCCAGTGTTACAATCCCCAGCGCCAGGCTTTTCTCCAAGCAAAGAAGCAGGCGCAGAAGAAAGAATCCCAACATGGTGGCTGGATCCAACGATTTGCCGGATGCTTCCATTATTATAACCCACAGGTAATGTGTTCCCAGCAAGGCCAGGGAGTATGCCAGTATCCAGACCTAGTGATGCAGGCCTGCTGGGCCATCTATCAGAGAAAGACCTGGAGGGAAGGATTCCTCTCCAAGCTAGGTGGAGAGCATCTCCAATCCAAAGAGACCGTGTACATGCTCTGGCTTRGACAGAGACRAGTTATCTTTGGTATTRAAGGATCTAATGCTGCCTGGATTGCCTATCATGCCTTCCAGTCCCTACTAGAACCCTAGAAGTAGACTTTATTTATCATACGTAATTTTGTTATATATTTTTCACATATCATCCATATATATATATTTCTCGTATATATCTATTATATCCATCTGTCCCTAGATTTCTTCTTTTTTTATTTTAGCATAACCCTATCATTTATTACAAACGCTGGTACTAGAAGCGGTATTTAAATTTATATACGGTCGTTAGTTTCGTGCTGAGTGGATGACGGAGGATGGGGACGACAGCGAGTGGCTAGACCAGGTCTATATGTGATTTAGGCACAAGATGCGATGGAGTGGGTTGGAGGGGACGCGGCTGATTTAGATGTTTTATTAACTCAGCCCGTTCATTACTGCGCTGTCATACTCAGTGGGTGTGGAAACCTGCACCTTTGGCAACCTCAGGTGCTCCCAGGCCCCCTGCCCGGAAGCGTTAACCAGCCAAACCATTGATCTTCCTGGTGCGAGAACGTCTCACTCAACGAGCATACACAACAACCTCAGGTGCTCCCGGGCCCCCTGCCCGGAAGCGTTAACCAGCCAAGCCATTGATCTTCCTGGTGCGAGAACGTCTCACTCAACGAGCATACACAACAACCTCAGGTGCTCCCGGGCCCCCTGCCCAGAAGTATTAACCAGCCAACCCATTATGCTTCCTGGGAGCAATAGCCACTGCGTTTCTATCGTTCTTCATCACCACGAAAAGAATCTATATTTTTCCCTACCAGCTATAATAGCCACTGATTTGGGAGCCATTCTCTTTAAGCYATCAATCACTAGCCAGCCTCCTCTACTACTTCTTCCCCTAGAGCTCCTACAACATATCTATGCCAGCTACAGGATCCCGTCGACCAATAGGATCTTATTATCTGTCGTTTTGTATGACTAGAGGGCTTAGTCTATCTCATCTTAACCTCAGACCCTATCGCGACGAGTCTTGGCCCGTATTTTCGTGGACTTGTTATTGATCGTTTTTCTGTCTAAGCCAACTCGTCATTAGTTCTTTTCTCTCGTAAGTGACACCATGTTTCAACTGGCGGAGGGGGGCGCTGCAGTAGCTGTAGGGATTGTAGACATAGAGAAAATTGTAATTTTGCTGGGTTGATATATTTGAAAAAAGTTTAAGAGAGTATATTAATGTGGGTAATAAACAAACCCTAGGAATGAGGCCAAATTGGGTTTAATAGTATCTTAGACCTAGTAAAAATAAGCGTTGCATACCCACTGCAAGTACAGCCAATTACCGCAGGGTTCTGTATATTAAGATTTAGCAGAGATTGATCGCCAGGGGAATACTGCAAGCTTAATTAATATCCCTGTCTTGGCCCGTATGACATCAGCCCAATAATCGAGGCCTTAAAGGGAACGACTGATACATCCACGGCTAGCATCACTGGTGGTGAAAAATTGCCGTGACGCGAAAGGCTATTGAGGTATCATAGTCTAGATGTAGACTAGTGTTATTATACTCCGTCGGTTGCCTACTCTAAATATAGACCAGGGCCCGGGATCCACTTGGGGAACTTCCCCGCTAAACTCTCGATCATAATCAACAACTTAATCGTGAGCTAAACCGGATTAGGTTTAGCGCAAGATAGTGTTGATTTCCACGAGACCTCTTCCTCATCTTTCTTTCTTTCCTCCTCTACCCCTCGACTTGATCACTTTTCATCTCGATATCTTCTGCAGCATTTGCCTAATCATCACATATCTACCCTCAGTCGAAAGCTCTTGATCCAACGAAGAGAACAAGCCTACTTTCACTGCTGTAAAGAACAAACAGCACGAGACGCACCACCAAACATCACTATATTGGATTCGATCGTGAGTGGGCTCAAATCAGCAACGCGTCGACCAACACTATGTGTCTCTCAATTTCTTTAATCCTCGCACTCAGCCCCCATGTCAGCGATCACGGTTCCGGGCAGGGGCCTAGGATCAACCACCTACGTCTTGATTTACATATTGAGACGAGCCATCTTCAGTCAACATGGAGTAAGACAACGTCCTACCCAACTCAATATTGGTAAATGCTAACTGTTAGTTGTTCAACTTGCCTAGTCAATTAATAACTACATCTTTGTCCGGCACTACTGGAGTAGTGATAATAGGGCGAAAGTTCGAGAACAACGACCAGGTATTCGACTTCATAGAGAGTGAGACCCTTAATCATGATGCGACAGGCGCTTTTATCGCACAAGCCACAGCCAAGATCTTAGATAGACGCCGCAATACGTTCTATAAAATCGACAGCTTTGTAACCAGGCTTATAGAAATCAGTAGGAGGGTTCTTCCAGAGTCGAAAAACAAGGAATGGTGAGAGCAACATAAGTTGAGTGACGCGTAGAAAAAACTATTGGAAATCAAGAGGAAACATCAATTAGATCAGGCACGAAGGACCGGCAACCGCATGAGTAAAATAACAGCGGCATGGAGTGCTGCCGGCTTATATCTAGTTAGCGAGGGTATCTCAAAGAACAAGACCGCGTATTATAATGCGTTGGCGACCACTTGCCCAACATGGGAGGATGCACGGCATTATTTCAACCATATACTATATGATCGCCGTGTGAACCATCAACGTGGTCAATCATTTAGCATGATTATTAGCACCGCTAACACTAAAAGTGCACGAGATCTAGCCCAGAGAAATGCTCGGCCACCGGTGCTAAGCAGCAACGAATTGCAGCATTTGAACAGCATAACCAGAGAAACATATGATTTTGACCAATATGGATTGCTCGCCATCCACGCTTACACCAGAGCACAACTGGCAGATTCCTCCATTATCACATCGCCATATAGCGGAGAACCAGGATACGCAGAGACCATTAGTGAAGTCACTAAAGCCAACACCCCCAGACCAGACCGTATGGGCTTGGGCTCGTCACGGCGACCTGGCCGTGGAAGGGACGGACAAGTTGTGTCCCCGTCCAATAGACCCGAGCGCACCGCGGTCGAGTACAATGATAATGATTCCATCGACGACATCGACATGGATAGAGTTGGAGGCGACGATATCCAGTCCAACCACGAGCCAATGCACAGTGATCCCGAGCCTCACTCAACCGCAAACTCCAGGCCCCCTGCCCCAGAGCACATAGGCGATGATGATGCTCTAATGGTTAATTCTACGAACCCCGAGCGTGACAAGTCGGGTACTTCCGGGCCCCCTGTCCCAGAGCGCATAGGCGATAATGATGCTCTAATAGTTGATTCTACGAACCCCGAGCGTGACGAGTCGGGTGCTTCCGGGCCCCCTGTCCCAGAGCGCATGGGCGATGATGATGCTCTAATAGTTGATTCTACGAACCCCGAGCGTGACGAGTCGGGTGCTTCCAGGCCCCCTGCCCCAGAGCACATGGGCGACGATGATGCTCCAATGGTTGAATCTACGAACCCCGAGCGTAACAAGTTGGGTGCTCCCGGGCCCCCTACCCCAGAGCACATAGGCGACAATGATACTCCAATGGTTGAATCTGCGAACCCCAAGCATGACAAGTTGGGTGCTCCCGGGCCCCCTACCCCAGAGCACCTTAGGAATGAACCAACCCACGATACAGCACAGGATCATGAAGGAGATAACCTCGCCTCTAGGGCTGACGCCGCCCACCAGTTATTAGACATGCTTCAAAGCAAGGAACAGAGAGAAGGACCACAACCTACACCGATTCCTAACGTACAACCTACGCCGGCCCCTGTCGTGCAATCTGCCACCAACACAACAAAAACCAATGTCAGCCAAACGAAGTCTCATGGAAACCGCCACGTGAAGGATCGGTGCGCCTGTGCACGGGTAATGAGTGGTACGAATATTCAGGCTGTGGCTAGCTTAGCGAGGTATAACGAACGGAATCCCCACGATGAAGTTCGAGCAATTGCAGTATTCCATGCAATCGCTACCGATCTTAAGGCTATGAAGGATTCTCTAACAACCAAGAGAAATAAGGTCATGTGTAACGATCACATAAGTACATTAACTACAGCTATTAACATGAACATTCGACGCCAAAGGCTTTCCACAGTTATCCGCCAGTTCCATGCAGTCGCCAAACACGCTAGCAGTCGGGACAAGTGGTATCAGAGAAACGTCCATCATACAACTCGGTCCAAATGGTTCCACCACGGCCGTATCGAATACCGCAAGATTTCAATTAACAAATTAAAACCTTTCCACAGTGTTCCTGTTGAAGACATCGATACTGAACTATCTCCCACATTCTTCGACATCACAGTAACCGAAGCAGGCCTGGCAGATATTTTATCAGATATTCTCCATCAGTGCCATATCACAGGCAACAATCTTGGCCATAGTTTTCGCACCAAGAGCTTAATCACCTTAAAGAAGTTGTTTTCGTGGTGGAACGATGGTCACGCACCCACCATAGCCAAGATTACCCAGGAGGAATTTGACACTTTCGAACATCATTTGAAGACTAAACATAAGCTAGAAAACAATACATCTCCAGTCCGCACCTTCTTCCAGTACGCCCTTACCCAGCATCTTATGCAAATAGATCCGGTTCTTTTCATCATACAGCATTGTCTTCGGCCATTCTTCCGTGAAGAGAATGCACTCGATCCTCATACCGTGGCGATTCCCCTGCCGGCCATCTACGCACACCCTCGAACTGTGTCCTCATCCACCTGGATGCACGATCCAAACTGGGATGGCAAGAACACATACCGCACCCCCCTATACGGTGTCGTCCCTATCATCAACCAGGACAGTGCCGGCATGCGATACCATGCCATACCATTTGGAACCAGCAGGGCGGTTGCTCTACAATTTGCAAAAAAGTGCGAAGAACTAGACGATCCACTTGAATTTGCCCCCGTGCCAGTTCGGGTGAATCCCAACGTCGCTATRAAGGTGCATCAGTCCCAGACCCAGATGTTCCCCGTCACTGAAGCGACAGTTTCTACGTTGAGCGCGGTGGTCTGGGACGGATGTATCCCCATGACGCCATATTCAAAACCCCACGGTCATGAGAATGAACAGATCCTCGCATATCAGGTTTGTTTCACTCATCCAGAATATAAAGACACAATCCGCTACCCTCAGCTGGAGAAAGCCCGCGCCAATTGCCATCCATTGTACACTGGTACCGACAGGCAGGCTGCGCAGTTCATAGAGATGCCAGGCTACTACAGATTATCCTATCTTACCCCTCTTAGTAGCATCGATGACCTAGGTCGGGCCATTCTAGCCCAACAGCCGTGGGGGGCTGGCGCTATATCCATTACTACTCTTCTACTTGGGCCAGACCGTGATGCTGCGTGGTCATATATACAGAATTAGCATAGCCTTGCACAGCATATCCTACAAACACAATGGACGGAAATTCGGCGCACAGAGGACGAGTACTATCGCGAACGGGGCTTTAGCAATGCCACTGACGGGAGGGAGTTGTCTGCATCTGAGGAGGAGTGTGAATAGATTGAAACCGGTGATCCTGCTTATATTAATACAGATACTGCGTCTACGTATGGGGATAATGATGGGGACGAGGATGGGGACAAGGATGGGGACAAGGATGGGGACGATGATGGGGACGATGATGATGATTATGATGGAGAAGATGAAGAATGAGATTGCGATTTTTTAGAGGATAGGGAAGTAAGATCAGAAAATTGGGAGGAGAGTAAGACAAATTAAACATGGGTTAATATGAATAGCCTAGTTCTATATCATACAACCATGATAGAGCATAATCAACTCGTTACTAGAAACGAATGCTTCCCTAGTTTCCATAATTAGAGTAACACTACACTATACAATAAAGGCCTAAGAGGATTATAGTACCACAGTAAGCAGTCTATTCAGAGATATATAAGTCCTCATAAATACCGCTAAGAGCATTAGAGTAGACACCAGTATTAAAATCCTTAAAGACTTAAGCACTAAAGATAACGGTAAGAATCATTTGCCTCATCTAGATTGGAAAGCCATAACCCAGCTAGTTRTAGCATTCTTCTTCTATGAGCTCCTCCTTGTCCTGAAGCTGCACAGTCTGGTTCTCCACAGTCTAGTAGATATGACGGACAGGGTTTACCAGCTCAGAAGGAACAGTCAGGTCAGCCTAAATACTATAAAAGTTCTCTAAGTTATATACCTTCTCAGTAGTATTAACAGACATAGGCTTAGATTTCTATCCAGCGTCTTAATA